GGATCTGCAGGTTTCTGCAAATCTGCATGATACATTTCTATATCTGTTCATCAATATACAAATTTTTTTTACAACAATTGCCCTATTTTTGCAAATGGGAATAGCTACTTACTGCGGTTCTTCTCATAGCCAGAGCACATCTGCTGATAGCCAGAAAAGAAATTTAGGGAGATGTAGAATTGTCCTGTGCGCCCTGAATACTGGAGAGATTACTCCGATACAAATATCTTTATAACCACTGGACAACTTAGACTTAGAACTTAAAATAATTTTATTGTCACTTTGCATGTACAGGAACCGGCATACAAGAACATGCTCTATTGCTTCTGTATGTCCAGAGTCATGGTGGCATTGTATTATAACCTGAAATATTACTAAAATAAACAAGCCTTGAATTCTTTGGTGTCTTCTAAACTTAGCAACTTTTTCAGCATCTTGGCACTGCCAGCATTCAAAGGTTAATCCACCAGCATTCAAAGGATAACAGGAGGCATCTCCAAGCAAAGGAGATCAACAGCAGGAGTTGTTATACACATGAAAATCCTATGCTCAAATACCACAACCCCCTTTTTCTCTATAGCATTCCAGTAACATTTGCATATCAAGGTCAACAACCTTTACATGTGAATTTTTTTGGTGCTTTTCTCATTGTCCCAAATCTCCCTCATATGTTTCCCATTCTGTGCTTCACTGTCCTTCACTTTTATTGCATCATTGTTCGCAATCTGAACAGGGATTCTTCCTGCACTGAATTTCTGGAAATGAAAAGATGAACTCTAATCCCTCTTTACCCCTCCTCTCCCATTCCCTCACCTTTAAGGAGCTACAATCACAAAGTAAATCTGAGTGCTCCTATCTTTTATTATATTTTATAGGATCCCCAAAACATTTTTGCAGCAATTACACTACGTTTGCAAGAGAACATCCACTACATTCTGCTAATAGCCAGGCACAAGTAGATCAAACTAACATTTTCAATTTCCAGTTCTTTTCTCCCACATGAGAAATACTTAGATACATTTGACTAAACTGAATCAGGTCAGAAATTAAATAGTCAATTTCTCAGTTGTTTTTGCAAAGGCAGATCAGAAAAGAAATTCAAGCCTTCTCGTCACTCATCGCCTTCTGCCTCATGTGGATTTTCTTGTGTGCATTAAGGGAGGAGGTTCGCGAGAAGCACCGTCCACACTCTGGGCATTTGTAAGGTTTCTCCCTTGTATGTACACTTACATGAGTTATAAGACTAGACTTAGTACTGAAATCTTTCCCACAATCCGGACACTCATATGGTTTCTCTCCTGTGTGAGTCCTCTTGTGTTTCACAAGGTCGGAATTATGACAGAAACCTTTCCCACAATCCAGACACTCATAAGGTTTTTCTCCTGTGTGAGTCCTCAGATGTACTATCAGGTGAGCATTCCGAACGAAAGTTTTTCCACAATCTGGACACTGATAGGGTTTCTCTCCTGTGTGAGTCCTCTTGTGTCTCACAAGGTTGCAGTTAACACTGAAACTTTTCCCACAATCCAGACACATGTATGGTTTCTCCCCTGTGTGAGTCTTCTGATGTATAATCAGGTGGGAATTACGACTGAAACCTTTCCCACAATCTGGACACACATAGGGTTTCTCTCCTGTGTGAGTCCTCAGGTGTTTCACAAGGCCGGAATTATCACTGAAACCTTTCCCACAATCTGGACACTCATAGGGTTTCTCTCCTGTGTGAGTCCTCAGATGTTTCACAAGGTCGCAATTCCAAATGAAACTTTTCCAACAATCCTGACACTCATATGGTTTCTCCCCTGTGTGAGTCCTCTGGTGTTTTACAAATTTGGAATTAACAGTGAAACCTTTCCCACAATCTGGACACTCATATGGTTTCTCTCTTGTGTGAATCTTCTGGTGTATAATCAGGTTGGAATTATTACTGAAACCTTTTCCACAATCTGGACACTCATAGGGTTTCTCTCCTG